TACCACAAAAAACCCCCCCCAGGTAGAGGTTGATGGGGGGGTAGTTGGGGGGTTAGAGCCCAAAATATCTTCAGGTGGTCAAGGTTGAGAAACTCCGCTTTAATGCGATATATGCCATCTTCTGCTAGCAACGCCCCACTGGATTCTACGTAGGCCAGATGGGACATGCTTTTCCCCAAAGGATTAATGTTTGGCACCAGGACTTGAAACAAGAGGGCAGAAATATCAGAGCATTTCAACCTTCCAAGACACTCAAAGCAAGTTTTGGAAAAACAAGACTTTTGGAGCACAATTGAGTGAGAGTTTGCTGAATTTATATAGAGCCAAGAGTTTCAGGCGATTTCGAAAGGCCTTGAGGTACCCTACGGGTTTTTAACACATTACAACTGTGAAGCTACTTGTAGACAGATAAGCTACTTGTAATCTGTCTCACGTGTAACTTGGGTCTGCGTAACCAATATATTTTCCCCTCTTTCCCCCCCACCTCACCCCAATTTCAATCTTATATCGAGGTCTAGCCCATAGAGCAGTGTTTCTCAAGCTTGGGAACTTTAAGATGTATGGACTTCAACTCCCAGAATTCCCCAGCCGGCCAGGGTGTTGGGGATTTGGGGGGGTGGAGGTCTACACATCTTAAAATTCCCAGGGTTGAGAAACACTGCCATAGAATGATGCAGCTCACGAAAGCTGACGCCTTTTAAGAAAACCCGGCGGTCCCAAGAGGGACCTATTCCCTATTAATTCCTATTAATTCTTCCATGGTGGGATTGCAATGTGGGAGTACCCAATTTAGCTAAAAATCTTTTATCCGCTGATACAATCTATACTTATTAGCTTAATGGCAATTTTTTTGCATGCTTTCAACGCTTTAAACTGTTGATTGTTAATGATGGCGGTGAAATATTCAGGGTCCAATTCCTTTAAGGTTTTGCAGAATACTGATGCAGCCAGCTGAAGAACTAAGGGATCTGGGACCAGTTGCTACCTCTCAGTTTGGTTTACCTTACAGGGCTGTTGTAAGGATGAGAGAAGGAAGGGGAAGAGGAAGGAGACCATTCTGAAATCTTCCCGGGAGGAAAAATGTGGGGGAAATGAAATTTATAAGACAAAAAATAAGGATGTTAATTCTAGTAGCTGTGTATCAAGATATTCGAATACTAATTCTATATCTAATTGTATTTCATCCTGGAGAAAATCTGTCTACGTGGTCACTAACAGTCGACATTGACTTGACGGCTTATTATTAATAATGCATTAAATACATTATTCCCTTAATGTAATATTTAGAGAAATATATTTCCTTAATGTAATAAGTAATAACTATGTGGGTGTAATGTATTCAAAAAGTCCAATAGTGAAAGAAGTCTTTGTTATATTATGTACATACTCCAGATAGGAAAACTGAGGCACAGAGGAAAAGCTCTCATCTAAGAGATATTTGGGACTAGGGAAACAAAGATATAACTCAGCCTGTTTCTGTCTGAGCTGTTCCAGCTTTTTCCTTTGGCAAATTCCAGACATCTTGATTTTTTTGACCACCCGCTGCAGATACCCCTGTTCAGGGCAGTGCCAGACCCCTGGTTTTTTAAAAAATAAAGATGCTAAGTTTATTTTATCCATCCCATGTTTAAGCAGGCCAAAATGTGGGAAGTTCCCCCCACTCCCGACAAAACCTTCCCAATGTCAGAATTGCCACCAGGGGGTTGAGGATGATGGGACTTGTCATCCCACCCATTGAGAGACTGGGGAAGGCTGGTTTAACAGGAGGGGGGGCCTTTCTTCTTCACCTCAATCCAATCTTTACCTTCCGTAGGGGACAGCATCTTCTTAAGTTCAGCCCCCTTCTCCTCGGGGATCTGCAAATGGAAAAATGAGGATCTATTAGAATTGTTCAAAAATGTAGATTTACGGCTCTTTGGGACCACTTGGGCGGCCATCACTCAGCTGGCATGGGTTTGGGGGCAGGCTGGCTTAGGGGTCTCTCAGCCCCTGCCGACTGCTGTCGTTTGGACGTCCTCAAAGCACGCCCAGCGCACACCCCGAGATGGCCCCTGATTGTAGATTAACTCCTTGGGAGGAACTGGGACCCCGCGGTTCCCCTTCGACCGGTGCCAGTGGGATAACCCAACATCACCCACACGCCCTTCCTGGAAGTTGAGCCCTTGAAAAAGAAACCAGAAGGGACAGAGGGCAAGAGATCTATGGCCACGGGCATCCTTTCTGGGCACATCTGTGAGCAGGAGGAACAAGGGTCACCGGACCCCGAGCCTTGCACCAACCACACGGAGCTGATCCAGCAGATGGCATCTGTCTTTGCCAACTCCTCCGTCCGTCGGGGCACCCAGTGTGGGACACACACGCTTCTGCCCTAGACTGATTCTGGGGCAAAGCCACTGGCTCTTCCCCAATGGGGCAATCCTTGCTCCTTGACCAGCTCCCCCGACGCCAGGTCCGCCGCCCCCCCTTGGCATTTCCCACAGCCACCTACCGTTAGGGAACCGTGCGGGAACTGCCAAGTTGCCACCGAGAGAAGCCAAAGGAACCTCCACGAAGCTTTCATGGTGGGCCAAGGCCGCCGGGCGGGCGGGGGGTCTTCAGGAAGGTCCCCCTCGCCGTGGGGATGAGCAGGCTGGCTCCAGCCCAAGGGCACGCTTTGCCCAACTTAGCTGACGCGCTGACAGGGGCTGCCAAGCGGCGCGAAGGGGAGACGGTCTCAAGCCGGTACTCTCCCGCCCCCGAGCGAGAAAGACGGACCAAAAGGAATGCCCAGGCAGGTCAGATGCCCCCGGGCGCCGCCAGCCGCCAAGGGCATCGGAGCCGCACCAGCTGCCGGCCGCCGCTTTTCTCTTCCTCTTTCAAATCCATGCGCCCCCCACGTGAGTCCCCTCCGTGCCAGGCGAGGGGCGGCCGGAGGTGCAAGGCGGCGGACAGGCGCTGG